CTAACAACTCCACCATGCCTCGTCCATGAATTGGTTACAAAAACTATTTGGACCTAACAATCTTCAAATAATTGAAAATACCAACAAAAAAGAAGATTCAAATATATTTTAAAATCTCAAAATTCATTTCCTTCCTATTCATATTCATGTTTGTGGTAGTCGAGATGGTAGACTTGTAAATTTTAAAAACAAAATTTATCTCCAAGATGGATTTTGTAAGTTTAGACTGCACATGAACCCTACCCATTTACGATGGACTTATGGAATCCATCGTCCATTCTCAAGGTTGGACAATAGAGATGGAGTTTGGTTCTGATAGTACAAAACCACTTGAAATCCTGTTCTAATTCAGTGTTCATGTGCAAAGGGATTCTCCGTGCGATAGATGTAGTTTGGTAGTTTAGATCAACATTTATGAAGATATATCATGCAAATAAATATTTAAGATAACATTTTAAACAAGAGTGCAGTTTTTGCAAGGTCCCAATATTAATCGATTAAAGTAAGGCACGCCTCTAAATATTGTTAAAAGGTTAAGTTTCGTTTCGAAAACCCTTACCATGACCTAAAAAAATCTAATTTCAGCTTCAATTATAAAATTTCAAACTCCAAAAATGTTAGCATTTTTTATTTAGATATTTTAAATTTTATTTGTCATCTAATTTTCAATAAGAGCATATATCATTAACTTCTTGTCAATAGGGCTCCAAGTACTGAATCATATGAGAAAAGGTTATATGCATCACTTGGTCACATGTCCCTTGTTAGGTTTGTTACATAAGACAAAACTGACCTTAATCCATTTCACTTTCCAAAAGTCCAAGTTTCTTAAACGTCACACATTCCCTACTGAAATATGATCAAGTCAAAAGCAACAAATAACAAAGTTCTTAATCTAATCCATCTCTCTCTCTTTTTTTGAACGGTAGCGTTCGATTTATCATTAATTTAAATTTAAAATACAAGATGTTCAAACAAAGACACAGGATTATAAAATAAAGTAACTAATAAAGTATGGATTCTTCCTTTGACCAAAACAATGACATTTTCATTCACTTCTTTATACCAATGTTGGACCGTTGTCATAGAGATTGATAAAATATCTCAAATTTGATAAAAAAAAAAGTCCTTAATCTCTATCTTTGCACATATATGGAACACTATCTTGGACAATTAGGACCAAGTTGAATGTAGATCAGGACTCTATGTCAAACTTTGGATTCATATTACATCATCACTAAGCAACAAGATCAGTTACGTGTTGACATTGATGGAGCCCGAGACCCAAGCTCACTTCTACAATGAATTTAAGTTAAAAAATGGACCTCATATTCCAAGGTAGGAGCATAAATCTAATAGAATATGCTTCTAGAATTTTAAAAATTGTAAATTTTATCCCGAATTGCATGTCTATAATTCTGTTATTTGTTTTCACACCATCTTAAAAAATTTGTGTTTGATTTAGTTTCAGAGCACCAAAAAGAATGTTTATTAATTTATTTGGGAAGAAAATCACGTAATCATAGTTGTCTAATGAATTGGCGTCCTTCACAAAATTTAAAAAAGGGACAACCCGAACACTGATTTCACATCCAATGATTGAGATTAATTTTGATCTCCTTGTACCGAAAATAGTCTTATTGTATACTTTTTCAATTTATTTTTGCTTGAGGGACAAGGAAGATGTTCGTCTTAAATAACCAAACCGAACGGGTGCAACTTTTCATCTTTTGTAATTTTCTCATTTGCAAGATTTTTTAATTGGGGAGAACGTCCTCTTCGGGCTACAACATTTTAAAGATAAAGCTCAAATCCCGTTAGAAAAGGTTGCTTCGATGCTAAAAAAATCTTCAAACTAATTATCTCGACCTCAATAATTATATTTAGAAATTTAAATGTATTTCAAGCCTTAAAATAATGCATTATGACTCCACTATTTTTAAAGCTTCCAATTCATAATCATTATCATCGTCATCTAAACTTTATCTCAACTATTTGAGGTCCATTACATAAATCATATTCTTTAGAATTCGTAATAAGATGTGGTAAATTTTTATGCTGGCTGCCTACCTAACGCAACCTGCCGTTAGGACGGATTAAGGGAAATTCGTATTCATAATTGTTTATGGGATTTTTTAAATGAAATCAAACTATAGGCAAAATGTCAAATAGTTCATCTTTCATAATGATAGATTTCCCAAATAAATTTTGGGGCAATTATAAAGGTTTAAACTATATTCTCCAACTGTATCATGAGCTGCAGCTTTACTTTTAGGACGCTGCTAGCATGTGTAGAAATGCAAGCTCTTTAATAAATGTATTATTTAGATGGATTTTTTGATTTAATTTTTAAGGATATGTAATCTCAGACATGGAGATCATGATTATGAAAAAATAAATAACTTTAAAAACTAAAAATAATAATTTTACTAAAAAACATTTGAATCGTTAGTTAGTTTCAATTGTTTTTAGATGGACCACATATTTGCATCCATATTTAAGATGAATGCTTTATACGTTTCGACCGTATAGAAATGCGGTTCTCCTCCCATTAAACAATTTTCCTTACTTTTAATCATTAAGCATTGTGGCGTTACACTAATTGTACCCTCTAGAAGAATAAGTTTTTTATTTGACTTACTTTGAGAGAAAGTGTTAAGTTTGAAAATAAATAACCCTTTAGTACAAGTTCATGTCTTCAGAATTTTT